ACTCTTCGTAAGGCCACTTTTTTTGCACATATTATAATGGACCCGTACCACGCGTATCTGAAAACAATCGTTCGCGATGCCGCGCATCATGACGGTCGGGGTGTGGAGAGTAACAGTGACGTTCCGCAGAAAGTGAAGGAGTACGCTCACCTTCTGAGAGGCGCATTCGAACTTCCAGCGTGGGTGAAGGAGGTAAGACACTGGATATCTATTCTCGCTCGCCACTAACAGGAAATAGGGTCCATATCCGTGGCTGTACCCTCGAGTGATACCATTAGTGCAGGAATTACAGAGTTCGTCTCGCACGACATGCCGACCTCAGGCACGCGGAGACGGCGAGAAATCAAGAGACGCATCCCTGAGGCATATCTTCAACGCCGTTCTCAACGACTGCGCCAGCATAAGAAATGTCCTTTGCGCCGATGAGGAGATCGGCACATGTAGTCCGAAGGAATCATTCCTCTGCATATTGGTTCGGAATGCGCTATGCATCACCAGACGAGATCTGGTTGTGGAGTACGTGCTGTTGGTCTTCCGACAGCTGCGCATGAATCCTGACGGTACAATATGTGCAGCGAAGAGGCTCTGGTTGCGTTGCCTCGACATTGGTGTGGAGAGCTGAGCCCTCTATTCCGCTACATGAGTACTTGCGTCTGCGCGCCTCTGCTAGTGTCTATTGCCGCAGGTGTCCCTCTCACTTCGCCAACAGTCGATCCGCAAGACGAGGGTTGCGATGGCGAGACTGTCGAGACTGGGAGCGGGAATAGCGGCCACGGGGATGTTCAGGAAAGCAGCAATGGGTGTTCACCACACGATGACAGCGATGCTGTAAATTCTGAGGTGATCCGTGTACAGCAACGTCCTGGTGCTCTGCCAGTCTATATCGTGCCGCACCGCTCGCTCTCTGTATCGGAATGGCTGAGACTTCCTGCGGTGGAGAGGGTCGACTATGAGGACACCGACGAGGATGAGGCAGACATTGATCAACAGAGTATTGCTGGACTAGACTTGCATGCGCTGGAATGTCCACGAGACAAGCCACTTCCTACAGATGCCTTGGTTCCTGTGGTGTGCATGGCTGATGACGACACACTGCCTGTCATCAGGGCAAGCGTATTGTATCAGCGGCGTATCTGGCATGTCCAGGAGCCGTTGATAGGTATCTCGTTCGAGCGGTATGGAAGCTCAATCTCGTTTCATTTTGGGTGGACTGAAGCAGAGCTGGTTGATGGACAATGTCTGGTGAGAATGCAATTGTGATTGCGATCACGGATGGGTCTAATACCATGGTTCTAGCCTCGTGTGCATATCGCACGAATAGACCATCTAGGAGACATTGATATTGCGAAACCTGAGGGTGCGTTGACTGTGGCACAATTTCTCGTTAGTCTGGACAGACACATTGCCGGCATTCAAAACGACCTCGCATCGTCACGAGCAATACTAGCGGATGAACTAGGGCAGCGAAGTGTCGTACGGTGGAGAGTTGACTCGGTGATTACTGCTGACCATGAGGACAGTATTGGTGAGCCTGAGGACCTCATGTCGCTCTGGCTTGATGTCGCGACTTAGGGTCGAGCGACAGGGGAAAACCAAACGCTGGGGGCGTTCGACTTATCTTACCGAAGCGATGGTGAGCTAGGCTCAAACCTAAGGCTAGGGACAAGAATATATTAGTTAGTAAGGGAAGATAAGTAAGTACAAGAGAGCTTACTGACCTAGGGACAAGAGGTCGAAACTGAGGTCCCTAGGGCAGCAGAGGCCGGCTTATATACATGGGGAGATTAGGGCAGGCTGTGCGCGTTGGTCCGTGCGCAGCTGGTCTGTGCGCAGCATGCCGACGCGGCCCCGGGGGCCGGTGAGTCAGAGCGGCTATGTCAGCGGAGCCCGAGCTGTGCCGTGCGCTGCCGCCCCATCTAATCTAATCGTACAGTAGATAGCGACGCGTCCATATCGGGCATGTAGTACAGAGGTCGCGGGTTCGAGCCCGGCGAAAAGGAAAAAATTAAAAA